GAATTTTGCTAAATTGTCAAATGCCTTACTTCCTTCTGTTGCATCCTCACAATCTTACTGTTTATCCAAACTACTACTAATGTGTCACCATCCCACAAGGCTTCTGGAGTCTGACTGTGGCAAGGTCTGCTCCCACCTAGACTTTCCAGGTCCCAAATTCTCTCCATCTCTCCTGTCACCCTTCAGGAATCAGACATCAAGTCTCTTCTGAGATGAAGTAGTAACTATAACCTCTTATATTTCCCAGCTATGTGCCGTGTTCTGGTACCATGTTTTACATAAATTATCTCACTTTATAATTCCAAAATCTCTGTCAATAAGGTAAAATTTCATGAAGAACCTGAGTTGTGTAGAGAGACTACACAACTCGATCCAATGTGCATAGCTATTAAATTGGAGATCTGAGATCCTACCTCAAATCTGAAGCTGTTGTCTACTCCATTAACCTGCACGAGAGAGACAGGCAAAGGAGATCGGGGGCTGAGGGGTGGTGGTGGGGGTTTCTACACCTCCATCCAGTTGGTAAGGGAAGATAGTACTTGGAATTTTTATTCAATCATATATTTTGGAATTTTTATTCAATCATATATATTTGGAAGTTCACAATATTGCTTTCCAATTTTAAACTTTCTATGTATAGTTACCTATGGTTCCCAGGTTTGGGGATTTTATGGGCCATTAATATTTCAAATATGTTTGAGGGGCCTGTATAGGGTTGCCAAACTTCTATTTTGCCAGGTAAGAATATTTTTAAAACCTATAATTTAGCATCATTATCACTTCACGAAATGAAAACTATTTTAATGTACAGGCACACGTGCATGCACACGCACAAAACTTGTAGCTCTGTGGAACGTGGGCTGCTGCTTGCCTTTGTTTTGATTTATGAAATATTTTACATAAATTATCTCACTTTATAATTCCAAAAACTCTGTCAATAAGATACAATTTAATAAGGAACCTGAGTTGTGTAGAGAGACTACACAACTCGATCAAATGTGCACAGCTATTAAATGAGAGAGCTGAGATCCTAACTCAGTGTGTGCATGCGCATGCAAAGGGAGTTCCCAGACTACAATTTTGTGGTGTTGCAAAAGTTTTCTGGGAAAACCAACGTTTAGAACTTGGAAAACCTTACTCTACAAAACAAAACAAAAATACTATAAATGATGGCTAAGTTTCAAGCACACAGAGAAGATATAGAATATCTTTCTTTATTTTGGATATGAGGTAACTAAGGCTTCAGGAGATTAAGAAATGCTTTTAAATAGCACACAAGTGCTTGCAGAACCGAGACTAGAAGTGAATTATTCTGATAGCTATTTCAGTTCTTGTTTTCATCATCAGAGACAATAATGCTATACTATCATTTTTACAGCATTACTAGTTAAATAGGCTTGTGAGGGGATAATTTTAAAACACTACTATTTATAAAAATGATTTATGGATGAATGCAATCTTTGGCAAAACTAAGAAATGCAAACATGGCTGTTATCACAAACAAAAGGCTTCCCTTTTACCTGCCCTTCCCTCCTCCCCCAACTACCTGGTCAAGGGAAATATAGTGTGATCTTCAGGGGTGAGTCTTCCCATCCCCCAGAATGGGATAATCATTTGACTCTGCATATGGAGAGTATATAAATCTGTGTGCTCTGTGTTTGCATCCACATTAGCAGTCAATATAAGACTGAAATTGGGTCACTGACATGTTCAGGGAATAGCTATTAGCGTAACCTTTCATTGGAATCCTATTTACTGTTCTGTTGGCCTAGCGTCTTCTCTGTGCTTTAATGTGCACTGTCACATGAAAAGATCATTTGAGACCAGGGCCCTGAAGAGAAACAAAAGTGTGCAATCCACACAAACTTGTAAAATTCAAATACTTTGTCTCTTTCAAAGAGATGGTAACAAATGTATTAAGCTAAGGAAACTACAGAAACTACAGTTTAAGGAACAAATGATTGAAGATGACCACAGAAGTTAAAAGCCTCTAAACAATTTCTCATGGTTGTTTCCAATTTATAATTATTAGCCTAGTCTCTCTAGTGAAAAGAAACAGATATATGAGAATATACACATATATGTGAATATATGCAGATATATGATAAATGTTTATGACTATAAGCATTATATATGAGTACTTCATATATACTTGATATAGATAATATTACACACAAAATAAATATATATAATGTACATGTATATAGGTAATATTAGAGGATTTAGGAGATCAATATCAAGGAAAATGTTTCTACTTATAAAAAGTGGCACCATACTTGAGAACTTCAATTTTCTTCTCCATCTTCCACGGTTTGCATTTGACAGTAGCAATTGTTTGTCTTTTCTCGTCTAACTCTGCCTTCAATCTTTCCAATTCCTCTTTATCAATTTCTTCTTCTTCTTCTCTTTAAAAGAAAAAAAGAAACACCTTAGTAAAGTTAAAGTTTGCTTGACTTCCGAACTTAAGGAAGACAGATACCACATATTTAGCCCATTTTCAAAGATGTGGCCATATACAGTCAATGCTAGGACCTATAAACACAAGAACTCATATCTGAACACTGATGTAAGATTACTGGAATTATTATAACTTTAAGCAGTAGGATTTGCCTTCCTGAATCTAAACTTTTTTTTCTTTCTTTTTTTTTTTTTTTTTTTGAGATGGAGTTTCACTCTTGTCACCCAGGCTGGAGTACAATGGCAGGATCTTGGCTCAGTGCAACCTCCGCCTCCTGGGTTCAAGCAATCTGCCTCAGCCTCCCGAGTAACTGGGATTACAGGCACCTGCCACCTCGCCCAGCTAATTTTTGTATTTTTATTAGAGACAGGGTTTCGCCATGCTGGCCAGGCTGTTCTCAAACTCCTGACCTCAGGTGATCTACCTGCCCTGGCCTCCCAAAGTGCTGGGATTACAGGCATGAGCCACCATGCCCAGCCTAAGCTATTCTTTTATGTCTAAAGCCTCAAATTCTCTGAACTAGAAAATCTGTGGAAAGAAAAACAGATATATCAAGATATTTCCCTCTCTTCTTTGTTCCCTTGAATACCTTCCCCAATTCTACATTTCATTTAAAAACTTAATTTTTCAATAAGGATAATAAATTAGAGGTGAAGATGTCTTTGAGTGCCCTTAAAAATTTTGTTAGCCCTGTCTCAAGAGAAAAAAAAAAAATTGAAATTGAGAAAAATAAAAATCTGTTTCTTAAAGGTAACTTAATTTGTTATCTGTTAATTAAACTGTAACTTTAATGGGAAAAATTCACCTTGAAATATTGGTGGAATATATTTCAATCCTTTGAAGAGACCTTCAAAGGAATGTAGTTCCTACTGAGCATGGATGTAGCTTTTCTTTTTTGTGTTCCTAGTATTACAAAAACACTATAGGGTCCAGAACTCAAAGAAAACAAAATCTAAATATGAGCAACATAATTTTAAATTGAGGCATGCAATACCATATCGTAGAGATCAGGTTTTTTTGTTTTTGTGTGTGTGTGTGTTTTGGTAATAGAGTGTTTCAGTTATTAAGCTATTGTCTCAACTTCAAACACACCCTCCTACACTTTAATATGTGGTGCTGGGGCTGGTATTTTGTGAGTTACATTTCTGCTTTGTTAGCTGGGTCAATATAGACTCTGACAATAGGGGATACTGAAGAGAATCTCCGTCTTTCCTGTGTCTTCCTCTCTGCTTCCTATTTGCTTTGTGGGATGATACTTCCTCCTTAGCAACACCTGGAGTTGAGCGTCCTTTCCATAACTGCAAGTGAATCCACATTACCAATCTTACCAACACTAGCAGAATCAGCTTCATCACCTCTCCCATCAAAACCAGCACGGCAGAGCATCAGCCCCTCTGCAGAGTCCTGAGTTTTACCTTCAAGGGTCTTTCCTCTATGCTACAGTGCTTTCATTTCAACTTTTTCCATTGTTCCTCCAGCCCTTAGAATGGCAGCTACTTCCAGTAGTTACCGTCACCATGATGCTTTAGTGTTCTCTTTTTGCCTTTTCAGTAGTCTAATTAACAATTATTTATACCTCCTAACAATTCACTTATTAAACTCTCTCTGTTCAATTAACTGTTGAAGTTTCTCCCCTCACTAGACACTGACTGATAACAAAAATTGTAATCCAATTTAGTATTACTCAGAAAAATATTTTATTTTTCACTAAGTGCAGGACTAGACACAGTAGAAATATGGTAAAATTTACTTTTTAAAGTTCTAGCTGAGGAATAGGATATAACCACAGTTTCATAGTTCACCCTACAAAATGACTTTCAATCTCCTTTCTTTGCCACCAATCTATAGTTTTTAATCATGCTGTGATTACCGAAACAAAAATTCATATTAACCATTTAAAATAACACTTCCTGCCCACAGTTTGTTTTTTGGACAATTCAAATATTTTGCTTAAAATAATCATCATGGTTTAAGAGAACCAGGGAAGTACACTCTTCTAAGACACATCTCTGATTGTTTATATTTTAATTATTTGGTGTTTATCATATAGAAGCCTATGATGCTGTGCAGTAATGGCATAAAATATTTCAGGATTTTTTTTACTGCATCTATATCCAATTTTTTTTAAAATTTGCCAATTAGAATGATATGTGGGTTAGTTTGTCTTGGGAGTTAAAGATGTGCTTTAATAAAAAATGATTAGAATTGTTTCCATGCAAACATAGAAATAACTCGAAACTACATAGATAACAGTTTTAATGAAATATTTCCAGAAACTTCAAAAATAAAATAGATGCCAAGAAATTATCAGTAATAAAGTCAATTAGAAAAAAACCTTTAAGATTAATGATTTAATTGCTTGATATGTTAAGCCTTTAACTTGTCAATTGTTTCAAAATAATTCATAATATTTATGTACAATTACCTTAAAACTTTACATTACTGTATTTCCATTAAGAATCACATGTAAAAACCACATCTCTAATCCAGCATCAGCAAAGAATGAAAAACTGATCCATATGATGTGTGGATTTGCCAGGTAACTAAACCTATACGCCAACTTTCAGAAATCCTTTAATGGAAACCATTCTAACACTAATTAAATAGTTTATAAGTTTAACCTGTCCAAATTCTAAGTCCTTTAAAAATCAAATGAATTGTCTTTAGTAATTACTCCCTTCTGTAATTATCCCTGTGAGAAGAGTTTTCACTTCTCTGAGACTCCAAGCTACTCTGGGACACATATACGGTCTTATGTCATAATAATTTGTATCTAAGTGGCCTCTCCCTTACTATATTATAGACTTTTGAAAATGCAAGATTGCAGGCAATTGCATGTTCATATCCAAGTATCCCAAAGATGTTAGCAACTTAGGTTGCGCAAAAGTAAAGGAAGATAAATACTTATTGAATAAACACATGTGAATAAGTACTTATTGAATAAACAAAACTTTTCTGGAGAGTTCAGGGTTATCATCATAAACCCAGTGCTCAGAGTACACTAAAATATAACAATGACCTCTGAGATTATTATGGTATGGAAAGACGTTTATTCCTATACTAAATGATCCCAGACTGGTATATCTTTTAAGTCTCTGTTGTTAATTGTTTATTTCACCAGGAGGATCATGCTGTGTTACAGGGTACAGTTGTTGAGACATAAGTTACCCTCAAATATGAAAGTAATTAAAATACTTTTCTAACCAGCATTACAGGAAACCTGCTTTTCTAGAATCACTCAAAGAAAGGGCTAATCATATTAAAAGCCATAGGCACGCTTCATCTAAATTTTCAAGCTAATCTGTGAAAGAATGGCTTTCTATCTTAAGTTTGATATATTTAAACAACAGTTGTTAGGAAGAAAAAGGCATAATATGCTGAATTTCTCACTGCTATGAATATATTACTTATTCTCTTAAAACTGGGTCAGGAAAAGCCTGTAATATTACTGGAAATACTCCAAAATGTCTAACAAGGCAGTGTTTTTTTAACTGCCTCCAAAGATAGTTTGCATTACAACCTTGGTTTTAGTTGGTTTCAAATGTTGTGTCAATGAAAGGGAAATTCCCTGAGGCATTACTTGAATATTTAAATAAAAAAGACCCTGAATTAATTAACCTAAATAATTGTGCCCTGATTTGCCTACCAATCTTTCTCAAAAATATTATCTAAGATTTTCTTTAAAAAAAGATGTTTATCTTCAAAATAAACAACAGAAAATAGACTCTAAAATAGAGAATAGAACTATCAATAATCACAACTAATTTTTTATACTATTTATAATAGATGCACAAATTGTACCAGCAGAAATACAATTTGTAAAACATATGGAGACAGTTTGGTTATGTGGAAGAGTGGGACCTAAGGAATCTTGATTCTCAAGATCAGAATGAACGTAAGGCCAGCTAGGGAGAGACACTGTCATAGGCACAGGATCCAGTTGCTTCACATGGCCCCATTTCCTACAGGTTGAGCAGTTGCCATGAGGGCCGTCAGCAGGTGAAGAGAGCAAAGGAATTCCTGCCCAACTCATCTTTTTAAAAGGGTTTTTTTTTTTTTGAGGCATAAGTAGGAAAAGCAAATTTTGGAACACAACCTGTATCATGCATACATCAATTGGTGATGTTTTCTCAATGAAATACCCCCGTCAGAAAGCATAAGCTTTGCTAAATAGGAACTGTTACTATATAATAATGGAACTAACAATCACAGTAATACCTGGGACTTAACATTGTGTTGCATTTTATTTTTGAAAGGAATAAAGTATGAAGGTACTTTAAAAGCAGATCCAAATAAAAAATACTAGAGTCAAAATTTAAAATAAAATTTTGTCTTGGTATGCAAAAGAGGGAAAGAGGAAGCTGGGGAAGAGAAGAAGGAAAACTAAGACATGAAGTAAATGGGGTTATTCTTATCTAAAAGAGGCTGTTGTCTGTTAATATTAAGCTTCTCTACTTGACAAATTTTTCATACAGTTGTTTTTAATAACAATCATTTATAAGGAATAATATAATAGAGCTATTGAGTACAGAAGCGTGTCATCTTGGAAGGACATCTTAGAAAGTTCCTCATGCTTTAAAGTCCTAGGAGTGCTTGGAGGAGATTCCACCGCCTGATGGTGATTCACATGGCCCTGTTACCTGTAAGTCATGGAACAGGTTGACTGTTCCCTTTCATTCGTTCCAAGGGGTCTAGGTTTTCTCTTATTAGAGGTATTTTATACACACACTTTTCCTGCCTGCCTGCTATCTGCAAATTTCCAAAAAACCAAAGACAAGAAAAGTCTCTTCTTGGATGTTTCCCAAATAGCATTAAATATATTATTCTGCACAAAGTCGGCATTCAGTAAAATGTTTTCCTGGTGGAACTGAAAGATATTGAGCTGTACTAAAAAGAAAATGACAACCCAAATCCTCTGTAACAGAGGCTACCACACTTTCTTTCTGTAAAGGGCCAAATAGTTAATATTTTAGGCTTTGAGTGCTATATACAACTCTGTCCCATATTCATCTTTGCTTTTAGTTAATAGCCCTTTAAAGCTGTAAAAACCATCTTGGGCTGGATTTAGCCATAATTTGCCAAACCCTGCTCTGAAAGATAAAATGATGTGTGCTCACTATTTAGAAGTTTCTACTTAACCTAGATAACAATACATATAATTAGTGGAATAATTTTAAAATCTTTAAATTAACTGTAATATGTCAATGACCTATGATAATTTAGACCCTTCATAAGGGAATTTCTCATGGTCCATTTTTAATATATATTCATGTTAAAATTCTATTTTAACTATTAAAATACATTTACTTAAGTAGAATAAAAAGTATCATTAGATTAAGGCTGTCTTTCTAAAATAGTTTTAATTACCAATTTTAAGGTCAAAGAGTGTCAAAAAGGAATGATCATCTTCAGCATTGGAGCTTTCAAAAGAATATCAGAACTAACTTACGCTCCTCTCTTTAGCCTCCTCCTCCTCTCTTTTTCTCTTGCCTTCCTTGTTTCTTCATCCTCTGGTTCAGGTTCTGGGTCATCCTCATTGATAACATCTCTGGTCCGTTTCCTCTTTGGTCTCAAGCTCTCTCTTCGAGGTAGTTTATCTTCCTCCTCTTCTTTCTCTTCACCTAAACAGAGAGGTTGATTCAATGAGTAATGTCAGAAAACACTTCCTCCCACTAGCAAGTTTATTCTTAGTTTTTAATAACTACTATTACACATCTGACAGCACAATCTAGCAATTCTCCACATCATGATAAGGTGCATCATGGCATACATATTTCATGGTCCATCATTTAAATAAATGTATGTAGATTTCCATTTCCATTGTGATTCATTGACTCAGATATGTGACTGTGGATTCCCAAATTTTAATATGTTTTTGAAGAAGTTCTAGTGTTCATTTACTTGAGTAACTAAATAGTTTGGTGGTTAATATCATACCATGACCTCTAAGACTTTTCAAATAAGTCCAAGTTTAGAGCTTACCATTCCATTACATAATTGTTGAGTGATTAACCACTCCATATTTACCACTACTTCTACCTTAGAACAAAGAAGAGAAATGTTAAAAAGATGCTACAAACTAGAATAATTTTGGAGAAATTCATTCAGCCCTGAAGTTTTCTCCCAATTTCAATTTTCTTCATTCTTGATTCTAAATATTTTTTTCCTTTTTTCTAAATATTTGTTTTCTTTCCCTTAAAAAAAAAGTAGTATGCACACTTGCTTGGTCATTTATTTCTTATGAATAGAAACAGGTAACTTATAAATTTAATGTAAAATTGAGAATATGACAGTATTATTTTGTTTAATCAGCAATTAACAATCAATTCCTCATATTTCTGTAATTTTTTAGGATGCTTCCAAGCAAAGGATAGAGAGATAATTAAGATAAAGGATAAACTTTCCTTCACAAAGTTTGTAACATAACATTACTACTTCAGCTTCATTTCTATTGCTTCTATTTTCTTCTAACATTTAGCATAAACTATTGTAAAAAAAAATATTACAGTTATCATTATCCTCTTAAAAAGAGGCTACCATAGGAAAAAAAATTATACTTCGATGGAAAACTATGAATTATCTGTAGCATACCTTTCTGTGTTATCTGATTCTGATTTTATGGAAACTACATGACAACATTGAGAATTATACATAGCCATATAGCAATACAAAACACTTCTTATCTGTAGATATCCAAATAAACTCTTTCCAATGGTGAGACAAGCCCCTTTCAAAAAACAACTTTGCCTTTATTTGTATAGTCATTTCAATATATATTATCTATTAATGTATCTATTCTTTGGACTTTCCTTTGAACTGATTATAGTATCTCAAAATTGTTTTATTAGTTAAATATGTTCCTTTCACATACGTGTGAGTAATCATTTTGTATTTTCAAAATTATCTTTGATTACCACTTAAAACTTTTTTATTGATATTTCACGTTTAAGATCTAAATATTATCTATATTACTAAATGTCAGATGTCAGAAAGAGAAACAGAATAACATTTTTTTTTTTTTTTTTAGACAGAGTTTTGCTCTGTCACCCCAGCCTGGAGTGCAATCAGGCTGGAGCGCAATAGCACAATCTCAGCTCACTGCAACCTCCACCTTCAGGGTTCAGACGATTCTCCTGTCTGAGCCTCCTGAGTGGGTAGGATTACAGGCATGCGCCACCACACCCAGCTAATATTTTGTATTTTTAGTAGAGACAAGGTTTCACCATGTTGGCCAGGCTGGCCTCGAACTCCTGGCCTCAAGTGATTTACCAGCCTCAGCATCCCAAAGTGCTGGGATTACAGGTGTAAGCCATCATGCCAGCCCATAGTAACTTTTCTAACTGGGCTTGGAAAACTAAATACATATTCTGTCATCCGAATCAAGAATGAGTTTCTGTTTGTTAAATGTCGTGGCAAATGTATGTTATCTGAACCCCATCATGGTATTCTGAATATTTACCCAGCATTTATTAGCCACATTAGTCACTGATTAAAGAAAGGACAAAATCTTAACAGGAGGTAAGAAACGATTTCACCCACTAATAACTCACAAACCCAAGAAGCTACTTGGTATTCTGAATTTGAGTATTTTTGTATTAAAACTAAACTACTGGGATGACATCAGCAAGATGACAGAATAGGAAGCCCTGGCCCCTTCATCCCTCCATGGATATAAAAGTTCAACAACAATGTGGAGATAAACTCCCTTTGTGAGAAATTCAAAAACTAGTTGGAGGGTGCCTGCACCCTGGATGAACACAAAATCAGCTAGGAAGCTGGTAGAAAATCTGACACACCCTCACACGGTAATTCCACCCCACCATACAATTGGGCGGAAACCACCATCTCCCAGTTTCTCTCTGGGGAAGGGAGAAAACAACTGAACCATGTGTCCAATATTCTGATTTTTCTGTGGCTTCCCAAGGGACTGGTTTCTGTCTTGCCAGAATCTGAGTACTGACCAGAAAAGACCTCTGGTTGGGAACCAATGAGAGCAAAGATAGCCATTTTAATAGTATGCCAGCACTCACAATAGCCCCTACCACAACTTAGAATGACCAGATGAAAAACACCAAATCTCCACCTCTGTCTGGGGAGAACAAGAGTTGGATAGGGCATCCAACACTCCAGCTTCTGGAAAGGATGTCTGAAGAACTGGTTAATGTCCCACTTATCTCCTAGAGCACTAATGGGACCCAGCATACTCTAGATGGCCCAGGGTCATGGAGAACAAAGGTGAAGTTTTGAACTAGTTTGTACTTATTCATCAAAGCCCCTTACCCCAGTTCAGTGTAACACAACTGGCAAGAATGCCAGCCCTTGACTTACCCCTGAAATGGGACAAAAAAGACTGAAATATATATTCAATGTGCAGACTTTTCAGGAGGATGCCTAACAGAAAGGCCAATCTCAGAGCATGGACAGGACCCAGCATACTGTTGATGCCTGGGGGCCATTGGAAACAAACAAACAAAAAAAAGAATTCAGGACATGCTGCTTCCTCAGAAGACACATGTTATGACAGAAGGACACTGGAGGGAAGAAAAGATCATGAATTCTTAAAAAGGAAAAGGTCAACTGAAAATCCCTCTTATTGAGAATTTACACACAAGTCCAGAGAGGATGCATACATAGGAAATGTTTGAGAGGCCCAAGAATCTCTGGCCTGCATCCCTGGTGAAAGTCTTCTCCTATATAAATCTTGTCCTTATCCTGAAGACTGGGAAAAGAATCTGTTTTGTCTAATATACAGGTACCAACACACACACACACACACACACACACACACACACACACACACACACAATCAAGAAAAATAAAGAAACAGGAAAACATGCCCCAACGAGAGAAAAAGATAAGGCTCCAGAAACTAGCCCTAATATGATGGAGATACATGAATTGACTTAACAGACTATTAAAAATAACTCATAAAGATGCTCAACAAAGTCAGAAAAAAAATGCATGAACAAAGTGAGAATTTCAACATAGAAATAAAAATATAAAAATAACCAAAGGTAAATATTGAAGAGTATGAGACAACAACTGAACACAATAACTGAAGAATACAATAAGTAAAATTCACTACAGAGGCACAACAGCAGACCAGATCAAGCAGAAGAAAGAATTACCAAACTAAAAAATAGGGTATTGAAATTATACTGTTAGAAGAGCAAAAGCTTAAAAAAATAAGAAAGACTGCAGAAAGTTTTATGAGGGATCAACAAGCAGACCATATATATACTATGAAAGTATATATATACTCTCATATATATATATACACACACAACTCTCTTATATATACTATAAGAGTTCTGAAGGAGAATAAAAGAAAGAAAAGGCCAGCAAGACTACTGAAAGAAATTGATAGCCAAAATCTTCCCAAATCTGGGGAAGGAAATGGAACTCCAGATTCAGGAAGCCCATAGACCCTAAATTATATGGATCCAAATAAATCTACACAAAGACATATTATACTTAAATTGCCAGAAGTCGAAGACAAGACAGAATTTTGAAAGAAACAGGAAAGCAACTTGTTGTATACAAGGAAACCTTCATAAAACTATAGGTGATTTCTTAGCAGAAACTATGCAGGCCAGAACAAAGTAGGATGATATTTTCAAAGTGCTGAAAAGAAGAAAAAAAACCTGCCAACCAAGAATGCTATACTCAGCAAATCTATACTTTATAAATGAAGGAGAAATAAAGACTCTCAGACAAACAAAACCTAAGTTAATCACCCCTAGACTTTTCTCACAAGTAATGCTAAAGGAAGTTCTTTATGTTGAAATGAGAGGACACTAAACAGCAAGACAAAATTACATGAAAATATAAAACTCTCTGGTAAAGATAAATATATACACAAATACAGGATACTATAATACTTTAATGACAGTATATAGATAACTTTTAATTTTATTATAAAAGTAAAATAACAAAAGTATTCAAAGTAACTATAAATATATATTAATGAATGCATAATGTAAAATTATGAAAATCAAGACATCAATAACATTAAGTGTCAGGGAAAGTAAAATTATAGTTGTAGTATGCAATTGAGTTTAAATTGTTTTCTGTTTAATATAGGACTTTTATTTATAATTATGAAATGTTGAACATAAGTCCCATGGTAACCAGAATAAAATTTATATAGAAGATACACAAAGAAAAAGAGAAATGAATCAAAGTATATCACTATAACAAAAATTAATAAAACATAAAAGAGAATAGCACAATATAAAAAAGGGACAAAAGAGCTTTGAGACAAAAAACAATGAACAAAATGGCAAAAGTAAGTCTTGCTCTATCGATAATAACTTTAAGTGGATTGAACTTCCCAATCAAAAGGCATAAAGTGGCTAAATGGATTAAAAAACAAACAAAGTTTAAAAAACAAGGTCCATCTATATTCTAACTACAAAAGACTCACTTTAGATCTAAGGACACACATAGGCTGAAAGTGAAGGGATGGAAAATGATAATGTTATGCAAATGGTAGCTAAAAAATAACAGGAGTGGCTTTAGTTATATCAGACAAAATATACTTGTAGTATAAACTGTCATACACAAAAATAAGGACATTATATAGTAATAAAAGGGCCAATTTACCAGGAAGATATCATAATCATAAGTATATATGCATTCAACATCAGAACATCTAAATTTATAAACATTAACCAAACTAAAGAGAGAAAATATACAGCAATATAATTATAGGAGGACACTTCAATACTCTACATTCCATAATGGATAGAGCATCTAAACAGGAAATCAATAAGGAAATAGCAGACATGAACAACATTCTAGATCAAATGGACTTAGCAGACATATACAGAACATTCTACCTAATAGCAGCAGAATGAACATTCTTCTCAAATGCATAAAATATTACTCTAACATTCTCTCTGCCCTGTCTGTGTAAAAACTGGTCATAATGAAATCATCCGGCCTACCTCGAGTGTAAATCATAAGACCCTCATTCCAAAGAGGGTCCTGCCCCATACCCAGAAGAAAGAAATGCATGCTTAGAGAGGCCAAGAAGAATCTAGGCAGACAGCCTTGTGGCATTTTCCCACTCAGAATGTAAACATTAGATTATACTCCTTTTGTCCAATCATATTTCTACACTGCTGTCCATACTTTGTTGAACCTAAGGATAAAAATAAACAAATTTTTCTATCTTTGGGTCTTCATCCTAAGGCTTTAATGAATACATGTTCTATAAATTTATATGCCTTTTATTCTATTAATATACCTTTTGCTGGTTGATTTTTCAGCAAACATTCAAGGGACCAAGGTGTTGGCCCTTAAAATGCCAACTGAATAGAATCTAGAGTGGGGATTCTGTTTGCTGAACTTGATTCCTCCTGTGAGACCATGAAAAATTATCCACACACACTTCTGCTTATAAGAGCTAGCTCAAGGCCACAAGATAAGAGGATAAATCCCTTGAATTTACTGATATTCCATAGGAAACATATCCCAAGTGGGCCCATCATCACTTACTTGAGCTTTCCTCAGTATCGTCTTCTTTTTCCTCCACTTTGATTTGTACTGTTGAGGAAAGAAAAGAGTACAGCAATTATTTAAATGCCTGTATAATTGTTAGTAAGTGGTTTTTACTTTTATCGTTTTTATCATAATGTTTCTGTGCAGTCAGTAAAAATTTTCCATAAACTTGTCAAAATGAGTATGATTTATTAAAGTTATACAGCTACAGCATCTTATACAATGCCATGCAAAGATTTTTCTATGTCATTATCTTCAGGGATTTGCAAAATATAGCATTTATAAGACCAATTCAAAATTATAAGTTATCAGCTCAATTTAAAATAACGTCAACTGAAATAAATTCTGTATTGCAATAGTTGGACTTGGGGTTTGTTGGGTTATTTTATTTCATAAAAAATTGAATTGTTAATAAAGCTATATCCACATGCCCAAGCCAATTAGGTTAATAACCAAATTAACTACTTAAAAATAGAGAATAATTCATTCCAACCACTTTTACCAAGCATGAAAAAGTCTTTAGAAAAATGATTAAAGCCAGATCTTTTCAATTTCAATTATTTTTATAGGTGTTATATTAATAAAGCCTAAATTTCCCAATATGTAACTCCCCTTGGCAATGTGGAGATAGGTAATTTTACAGTTCTTTCCAAGACAAAGAACACTTTCTCTGTTTATTCCTCACCCCATACTCTTTTTGTCCAATCATATTTCTACACTGCTGTCCATACTTGGTAATATAAGTAGAGAACAAAAAAGAGCTTGTTTATGGTTTTGCTTCCAGTTTATAAAGACATATAAAGCTTTTATAAAATTTTTAATGCTATAGTAATATGAAAAAATATATTTATTGGCATATTTTTTCTCTTGTGAAGTTAGTGTCCTTTCATCACAGGTTTCTTGCCTTGGAAAAATTAGAATATTTCTTAAAAATCAAAGTCTATTAACTTACTTATGAAACATGAATTTTATAATATTTTTATTTAAGATGGAATGGCATTTGTCCAAAAAAGCAAAGATGACAAACAATGTCGCTGTGAACAGATGAAACAACCTCTGGTTTTGTTTCTGTTCACTCACTGTCAAAGGTTATTATTCAGAACTTGACAGGCATATTGAAAAGGCAACACATGCCAGGAGAGTAAATTCCATTCACAAAGAAAATTATTGTCAAAGCACTTTCTGCTTTAAATAGCATCTGTGTAAAAAATTTTAGGATATGCAAAAATGTTATCACTCAACATCAGCCACAAAATGTGAAAATAAATGTTCTTTTGTTCAAAGTGAACATATGCCTTCTGCTGCTGGCTGCAACTAAATCTACACAGGACAAAGATCTTTATGTCACTACTGAGAGTTTGCAATAATGAAGGCAGATACTTCTAAGGAGATATTCCACATTCCACAATAGGTCATGGTCTTTTATTTGCAATTAATGTCACAACTAAGCTTCTTCAGTCAAAGAAAGATTCCCGAGGAAAGAATTTTAATGATACCAGATTAGTGTTGAAGCAGGGTCTTATCAGTTATATATAAAGAAGAAACAGCTGAGGACAAATAGCAAATGCTGACCCATAGCCTACTTTGCAATATGCATAGCCAAAGCAAATGTTTAAAACATTTGTACAATGTATTAGGTTGATTTGTAATGATTACTTCACCAGAATGTGATTATATAAAGTTAATTAAATAAAATAGGAAAACTACTAAATCAACAAAAATATAAGCAAATCTTTAGGAAGGATCATATATTAAATAAAAACAGCAGAATAAGGTATCCCAAGCTAAGGAGATAAGCAACGACTCAGTTTTCTCTAATAACCAAGGGAGAGAAAAAGCAGTGCTAGAGACATGAATCATCTCTGGCACAGAAAGAATAGTTATAAACAACCATTGAATAAAACCTAAAAATCATAAGGGAAGATATTCCCTGTGGTGGCAAGTAGAGAACAAAACAGAGCTATGACTTCTCAGTGATGCAATGAAGATGCTGCAGAAATGACATTCCCTCCTCTTGAATTGGTTTTCCAATAGTGATTCCGGTCTGTGCATGATTGTTTCCAGATTCTCATTAGGTGTTTCTTTGCTTAGCAGCATTCCTTTGTCTGATCATGGAAGTCATTTTTTGTAGTCATTGTGATAATACTTGTTCTTTTCTTGAGTGAAACTCTCAGCAAAGGCATCATCAGCATCAAGAACTAAATAGCAGCACTATGACCAGGAGATTTAAGACACTATCAAGATCCTTAGACCAAGCTTGATTTTAATTGAACATGATTCAGCCTGAAAAGTAACTATCAGCACTGGCCTACATCTCCTGCAACTTAAAGCAATGCTAAAGGATCACATTAAAAACTCCCCCCAAGACAAAAACCTGTGCAGAGATAACTCAGAACACTTGAATAGGAGCTACAAACTATTTCCTTTCTCAGACAATCTTTGAGAAGTCCTGTTGCCATCACTTCTCTCAGCAATCCCTAGTACCTTATTCCCAATCATTTGATCTCCTCATGCCATGGCTGCTCCCCAATGCCTATTGATAATGCACTTTAAAAATAACCTTCTCTCCTGGGGAGTGATGGGGGGATAGTGAAAGAAGAGGAGGGGAAGTCTGTCAAAATGTTGGAGGCAGCAAGCAAAACTGCATTGAAGTATGTGTAGTTAAAAGAGGAATATGCAATAGGAGCAGATGAACTCCTAGGCAACCCAGATCCTCATTTCATGCAGATAGACTTGGTAATTAAAAACAGTAAAAGGAAACAACAGCAAAATGTCACATTTCAGAGGCATAGGAGTCGTTCAGACAAGTGGATGTTGTTCTGGGCTCTCTTTTTTAATCTATAATGCTGAAAGTAGTTTATGCTTCCTTAGGATACCACAGTGACCAAGTGGCCAGAAGAGTTTAATGGTATTGCCTTTTTCTCTAATCCACATTTACCTCTTGAAGCAATGTTTACAGCTCCAGGTTATTATTTGAGAAACTGAAAATTCACTTATTGAATCACCATTTACTGTGCACTCACAAAGGAATACAGAGAAAATGCTCTTGGATAGGAGTTTGTAGACGGTAAAAGAAAATACCGCTGCCTTTGATGAGTCTCACTATTTGATGCAAAAGAATGACTTTATAGGCCTGGCACAGTGGCTCATGCCTGTAATCCCAGCACTTTGGGAGGCCAAGGTGGGTGGATCACTTGAGGTTAGGAGTTTGAGACCAGCTTGGCCAACATGGTGAAACCCTATCTCTACTAAAAATACAAAAATTAGCTGGGCATGGTGGTGTACGCCTGTAACCCCAGCTATTTGGGAAGCTGAGGCAGGAGAATCGCTTGAACCCGGGAGGCAGAGGTTGCAGTGAGCCAAGATTGTGCCACTGCACTCCAGCCTGGGCCACAGAGTGAGACTCCCTCTCAAAAAAATAAAATAAAATAAGAATGACTTTAAAACAATAAGGTTTGAGATTAGGTATGGATATCTTATCTAGTCTACTTGAGGAATAACAGCAATGTATTATCTAGCTCCTTTGTGTTTCTTCACAGGATTCTTTTTTGTGTATGAGGAATGTCAACATTGACTCTTCTCATACAAATTGGATGTCTATTACCGTAAACTAAACTTTCTTGACAGGGATGTTGTTAATCAATGGCATCACAGGAACAAATGAACCCATGTCATCCCTGTAGGGTGTAATGTGGGATGTGGGAGAAATAGAAAAATAAGAATAACCACAGGTTCTTTGCTTAAGCACCTAAAGAATGGAATTGCAGGAAAAGAAGATGGAAAACTATAGGGAGAATGGCTTAGTTAGGCGCTTTTAAAGATCAGGAGTTTAATCAGACCCATTGGATTTCAGGTGCCTTCTAGACATCCAAGCATGACATTAAGTAGGCAGTTGAGTATTTGAGCCTGGAGTTCAAAAGAAAGGTTTGGGCTGGAAATATGACTCAGGGAATAATCAGCATATAGATAGTATTTAAAGTCAAAAGACCAGATGAGAACACAAAGAAAATTTGTGTCAACAAAACAGAAAAAGGAGTCTCAAAATGGTGAGGAATGGGAAAAGAAGAACAAACTGAAGAGATTAAAAATGAACAATCAGCTCTTAAGCAGAAGGAAAGTCAGAGATTGTGGAAGACAAAAGATGTGCATCAGAGATGTATGGTAAGCTGCCGAGTAAAGTACAATGAGGACTGAAAATTGACCACTGGATTTGACAGTGTAGAGACAATGATGATCTCAGCCGTCGTATATTTAGTGTAGTCATGTGGCAAAAAGCTGAATTAAGTGGCTTCATCACCCGATGGGCAGTGAGTTATAGGTTACAGCTATTTTTGCTAGTTGGAATGTTCTTATATGCTGATAAAAAAGATCTAATGAGAATTGAGAAATTGATGATGTAGCCTATAAAATGAATCCCCTGTAATGTTATACAAACAACAATGAATTAGATTATTAATTCCTCAGTTTTATTTCTCCTTTTGATTTGTCCCTGGGCTGTGCTTCTCAGACTGATACTTTGTTAAAAGACTGAACAACTTACTAATATATCTCTTTCATATATTGGAGTCCACAATAGCAATTCAAAAGTTTGGAGCTAAAAAATGGGGTAGGGAGAAGAGAATGAAAAGGAGTGAGAGGAGGAAGGAGAGAATAAGAAATAAAAGAGTAAATATGGGGTGAGAATTACAGTAAATGATAATGGAAAAGAATAAATATGAAATAAAATTTTGCATTTTTGTCTTGCTACATATGACAAATAAATATTTTATATATATGTATATATATACTGTATGTGTAACCTCAGGTTAGCTAAAGTCAGACCACCTCTCCATACTATTAATATTTTGCTTTATCAAGAATTTGAAGGTGAAAAGCTAGAAAATGTGAATAAAATAATTTTTTAACATGCTGTATTCCAAAGTGAAATTTGTCATATTTTATAAGAAAAGTATGAGCCCTTAATGAAAACATAAAATCTCTCCTCTCCCTCTCCAGGGGAAAAAGAGAGAGAAGAGGGAAGACAGACCAGTGAAATTATAAAAATA